TTCTGCCCAGCAAAATTTTAACTGAAGTTGAACTTTTTTTTCCTCCTTGGAAAAAAGCATGATACAGTTATGTTCTTAATGGAAAAATGGTGTTCAAGGTAAGTCCAGTAAAACTCCTTTACGGAACGACCATGTTTCAATATGGTGTACTATCCTATTTCCTCATAGACCTCTGAGAGTATAATTTCACATTTATAACTTTTTCGTAACCTCCTTTCGCATAGGTGTGTCAAGAGCTCCTGATACGTAGCGAGATATTTTAAATGGTCAGCAGCTAATCACTACACTTGCTGGTTTTGAATTTCTCTTCATACTTGAAACAGAATATTATATAGTGCTTCAGATATCACATGTGTTTTCACTCATTCTAAAATCTGTTCTTATGCCAGTCAAAGAATGATATATTTTTTAAAAGAAACAGAGAGAATCTAGTGAACTTATTCTCGCTCCTCCACCTGTACAAGCTTGGAAGAAAGAGAGCTGGGCTAGTTCAAGCTAACTTTTGGACAATAATGTGCATATATTTGCCTATCTCTTCTGAGAGTGACAACTTCAAATTGTAGTAATTGTAGTAGCAATTTAAGAGTTTTATGGGAGAAGGGCAGTGAGTCCATAGTGTGCAATAAACAAAAACATAAGCAGAGAATTGATGCACAAATCAGTTAAGCCTAGATACCTGGCCCTTTTAATGTCGTTCGTTATTTAACTGGTATTAAATTTGCTGAATCCGCACAAGAACATAATATTTCCAAAGAAGTCTGAGTTATTACAGCTGTTAAAAGCACAAGGAAGCAGGAAGGATAAGGACAGTAATGACATCTACTATTCACCCTGGAGTGGTATCTTCTGGTATGTCAAAGGAATAGCAAGGTTTGGAGAACTTGGGTATATGATCATTAACATCACTAATAGTAATGTTTATTCTCATATCTGAAGACTGCAGGCCATCATCAGCACGAACTAGCAGAGAATATTTAGAACGGCGTTCTCGGTCCAAACGCTTGGTGGCTATCAATTCTCCCGATTCTGGATCGATATGGAAGCTGTCGTCTGCACCACTGATGATGGTGTAAGTTACCAGAGCATTTGCACCCTAAACAGTGACGAGAAAAGGTCAAAGTGCATTATATTTTTCATCCAAATTAACAGTAAGCTTTTGCGCTGATTTCTAAGAATTTGATTACAAATTTTAAAGAAATTTTCAAGTAAGTAAGTAAAACATGGATTTGAATGATGAGCTGATCATATCACTTTTATATTAAAAAGTAAAAAGAAAAGTTAGAGTACAAAGAGCTAAGATTGGAATCTCCCTATAATGTTCCTCGAGGCTCCCCGACAGAAAAGATTCCCTTGCCAAATAAACATTTTTTTGCACAAATCTGTCATTCCTGATGTATTTACTTGCACTGGTACTGATCATATAAAAGAGAAAGATACTGCTGTGCCCCTTCTGTACCCAGCACTCTGCAAAAATAGGCCATGTGATGTTGTGTTGTCAGGGGACTGACCGGTGGGCAGCCCTTCTTACCCATCCTGTGGGAATGGGGGAACCAGTTCTTCACCCCTACTCCACTACAGCACCTGGTTAAGGAAGAACTGTGAGGGGAGAGACTTCATCAGGCAAGGCTTTCTTCCACCTGCACTGCCCCATCCTCCAGTCTCTGCTTCTCAATTTGCATTGTATTATTTTATGCACTGTGACCTGCCATTGTTTTACTGATTATAGTTTAGAATTTTTTTATTATAATTGTTAAGAGTGGATTTTTGTTTAATTTTTATATGCTGGTATTTAATATTAGCAGGTGGCGCTGTGGGTAAAAGCCTCAGCGCCTAGGGCTTGCCGATCGAAAGGTCGGCGGTTCGAATCCCTGTGGCGGGGTGCGCTCCCGCCGTTCGGTCCCAGCGCCTGCCAACCTAGCAGTTCGAAAGCACCCCCGGGTGCAAGTAGATAAATAGGGACCGCTTACAAGCGGGAAGGTAAACGGCGTTTCCGTGTGCGGCTCTGGCTCGCCAGAGCAGCAATGTCACGCTGGCCACGTGACCCGGAAGTGTCTCCGGACAGCGCTGGCCCCCGGCCTCTTGAGTGAGATGGGCGCACAACCCTAGAGTCTGGCAAGACTGGCCCGTACGGGCAGGGGTACCTTTACCTTTACCTTTATACAGTAGTACCTCAGGTTAAGTACTTAATTCGTTCCGGAGGTCCGTTCTTAACCTGAAAGTGTTCTTAACCTGAAGACCACTTTAGCTAATGGGGCCTCCTGCTGCCACCGCGCCGCCGAAGCATGATTTCTGTTCTCATCCTGAAGCAAAGTTCTTAACCTGAAGCACTATTTCTGGGTTAGCGGAGTCTGTAACCTGAAGCGTATGTAACCTGAGGTACCACTGTACTATTCTAATGGATTGTTGAATATTACTTTATTTGATATAAGTTGCCTATTTTAAAGTTATGTTTTATTATCACATTTTTGTATTGGATTAGATTGTTATATGGTGTACATTCCTTGTTTCTTCAGCTTGTAAACCACCTTGAGTATTGTTAATTAGGAAGACGGTATACAAATTAAAAGTGATGATGATGATGATGATGATGATGATGATATAGCTGCAGCTTGCATTTGGGGGAACCTGGAGCCTAGCTGGGGTAGGACAGGTCAGAGCTGAGCTGATTTTGAGGAAATCGTATACCCATATGAACTTTTTTGGATGGCTGATATGAAGCAGAGGGTTGTGTTTCATACTGAACATTGTTTTGTAAAACACACTTCCTCATTCTGGTGATTCACAAAACTATGAAAACAAACAAAATGTTTATCTGTTCAATGGTATAGCAGGGAGCACTGCTCTCACTCTGAATGGACTTCAAAGCCATGTAGTCAAGCAGATTTGTCAATGTGATGACATCATCAAGCCTCATCAGAGTGAGATAGTGCATCTAGTTTTTACTGTGATTGACTGTGCTATGTTGACCAATGTAACTGGATGTGTGGCTAAGTAACATTTTCTACATGATCCTTGATAGGCTGCAATTCTCTCAGGAAGAAATTGTTTTTTTTTTAAAAAGAAAGGCATTGTGCAGTAGTTGTGAAAAGGCAGGAGATGACACATAAAAAGGTGTTTGAGAAATCTTTGACTCTGAAAACCCTTATTTTGCCTCCACATTTCTGTGAACAAAAATTCACTGTAGTCTTACTTCCTTGCCTACTCAGGGGATACATTCCACAGTATTACTTTCATACTCAATGTCTGTGCAGTGTGTAGAACACTTACCCATAAACGTATAATTAAAATGTTTGAACAGATTCTTTCAATAATAATCTTATATTACTCAAGTGTTACATTCTTTATCATCCAAGTGTGATACTTCATTTTTACAACAATGTGCGTCAGCTATAGACTCTTCTACCATAACTGCTGCTGTGGGTAAGGAGCAAATCCTATAAATTAGGCAAGTAAGAAGAAAATCTAGAAATTTCCTGTCAACACTTTTGAAGTACAGTAGTACTGTGCTGTGAGATATCATAGCTATCATTAATATTCATCCCATGGCACTAGAGAAAATGTTACAACTTCTGTGCAGATTGCAAAATAGTGACCACCTTGATCCCATTAAGTTGAATATTAGCCAAATGCAGCAATCAAATTCTGTCATATGAAACACTTTTTTACACGTTTAGGCAATGGGTTTCAAAGAAGCCTTAACCTAGTCTCGTCATTTGGCATGCACACTTTTTAAAACATGTCACTACAGATTTCATGTAGAGGTTTTTGTATGTCACGGATTTCTAACACTCTACTGAAGCTTAGAGGCTTTCTTGGAGATAGACACAGTGACAGAAACTTCCTTCAGGCATTAATAACTGTCAAATTACTCAACTTTGGACATGCTGGCTAGCCCTGCCACTGGTGACTATGCAATTAACATAAATGACTGCTGTGACATAGCTTTCACAGATACAGCTGGATGCATGAAGATTTCCATACGATTTGGAACTCTGGGACATGTGGAAACCTTATTGCAAATGAATGTATGTGCACTATAGGTGGTCAAGCTATTTGTATGAACATCAAGATGCAGCACTCAAATCCTGTGTCGAAAAAGAACATGAGGGGACAATGTCTGAAGAGGGCAAGAGATATAAAAAATAAATAAATAAAATCATGCCACGCAAGGCAGACACAGAGAAAAGGAAGAAATGTGTACAGCGGTGGATGGTGCCTTAAACCCCCCATGTGGCTCTCCAATGTTTAGGAATCTGCCACCTCACATATTTCTGCAAAATGTCATGAATCTATTTGAGGGGGCTGTGGCAGGTGGGCTTGGTCTCTGTGTGGCCCCCAGTATGTAGAAGAAGAGTTTGGATTTGATATCCCGCTTTATCACTACCCTAAGGAGTCTCAAAGCGGCTAACATTCTCCTTTCCCTTCCTCCCCCACAACAAACACTCTGTGAGGTGAGGCTGAGAGACTTCAGAGAAGTGTGACTGGCCCAAGGTCACCCAGCAGCTCAATATGGAGGAGCGGAGACACGAACCCGGTTCACCAGATTACAAGTCTACTGCTCTTAACCACTACACCACACTGGCTCTCTTGGGACCAGAAGAGGAGCTGTTCAGGTGTACCACATGTTGAGAAGAGGGAGGGGGCATCTGGCAACTGTTAAAAGGCTGTCATGTGGGAGAGTTTGAACCATCTCCCAGCAGAAAGAAATGCAGGAAAACAGGAAATGAAACTGTACAAAAGGAAGAGAGGGGATGGATGAAAGATAGGCAAGACGAGAGACTAGAAAATAGGAAGTTGAGGACAGACACACAGGAGAGAAAACATTGTATGTTAAATAAAGCAAAGCAAGCGATGTCCTGTGATGGATGAGGGCAATCAAATTAATTTAAGTAAGGTCCCCACTAGGGGAGTCTCTGAGAACAAGAGACCACATGGGGTTCTGAAAAGTCCTGGAATCAGGCGCGCAGGGATAGAATGGGCAGTCTCAACTCACAGAAAAAAATTAAACACTTGCATTTTTCCACTCCACGCCACCGTCTTCCAGGCAAAAATCAGTGGGGAGTAGAAACAAGGCTGGAAATCTATGCCTAACAACATTGTTGTGACAGAAGTGTCCTGCTACCCTTCAAAGAAGCAATAAAATCCCACCTCGTCAGCATCCATAGCTGTCAGCTGCATTATTTTAGAACCATCTCCGATATTTTCTTCTACAGTCAGATCAAGCATATCTGTAGGGAACACTGGCGGGTTGTCATTGACATCCTGAAGAGTTATTTCCACCTAGGAAGGAAAGGGGGAAAGCTCGTGATTCATTTATTAAATATAAGTAGCGCAAGTTGCTTAACTTTACATTGAATCAGGTAAGCAGTGCGCAATCTGAACTTTTCTGAAAACACAAACGAGAGAAAAAGTCCCGTGATGGTTAAAATTCTACATTGTTTTGAAATCTTCCGAGAAAAAGCCTGTAACCTACATAAAGCTAATTTGACTTGTTGATAGTAACTGATTTTAAATGGTCCTAGTCTAGTTTACGTTGGACATGGTCCACTGACTGACTGTCAATGTAATCCCTAAAAGTTGGACCCCAGAGGATAGCTGCCAAGACCCGGGGCAGGGGATCATTCAACCATTAAATGCTGCTTGACATAAAGATGAGGTGGTGTAAAATTCTCCCTGAAATGTTTACATATTGGCATGTCCAACAGCCAGAAAGAAAGAGTGCAACTTTTAGCATGAAAAAAGAGTTCTGATTTGCCCTTCTTTGTATGAGAGAGTTAGGGTTGTGTTGTTGTTTTTTAAGTCAATATTGGAAGCAAGTTGTTGTAACATCTCTCTGGATATCCCCCTCTCCCTTTCCATGCTTAAACCCAAACACATTTTATTTTTCACAAGTTCTGTTTATATCTTTTACAAACACTAATGGCAGCGTCTGAAATTATTTGCCAAAGCTGTTTACTCCTTCTCCTGTGTAAGCAAGATTGTTTAGTTCTCATGGGTTTGCCGATGCTGCGTTTAAAAAGCCAAGAGCTTAGAGTTCCACTGCTAGGTAGACACATACTAATAATCTCCCAATAAAGAAAAGACAGGCAACAGATGGTTTCTATCTATAGTGAAAGCAAAGGATTCCCAGAAGGCCTGGACCAATAAGTGGTCACCAAAACGTGAAGACCACCAAGGAGATAATGGCATAGTTGTGGGGCAGAGCTGTCTTCAGCAAACATTAGATAGCTGATTGTTTAGCAGGGCTGGAAAAGGGGGGGGGAAGAGTGAGGGGCAACTTAAAAGTCAAAAGAGATAAGCGGATTGACAGACAGAAACGTCATTGTACTTCAGCAACCCACTTCATCACTATTGACAAGAGATTTCTGGTTTCAGAAACATGGATGGAAATAATCCAAGTATAAAAACCAGCACAAATATCTTTTTGAAACTTGTGTTGTTCATCCAACAAATTTGCATATCTCCCACTCTTCGGGGGATATGAACAATGCATTACAATACCCGGCTTCTTTGATCAGGAAAGCCAAAATCCAACACATTTTGGCATTTTTTTTAAAAAATGGAGAATTAAATCAAATCTCAACCGAATGAGGGTAGTAAGAATTTAATGAATAGAAAGAAGCTCAGTGGAAAAATAAATTATGTGATGCTTGCCTGAACTCTTCTCTAATACAATGCAAAATATACAATTACCGGTAAACTATAGAAACTATTCAATTTAAGCACTATTATACAACTTTGAAATTTATGGCTCATGGTTTTCCCAAAGAATCCTGGGAAGTTTCTTAAGGGTGCTGAGAGTTGTTAAATGTATTCCCCTCATACACTTGACAGAGTAGTTTAATAATCAATATCTCTCCTGCCTTCCAGAAACTCTAAGAGCTGTCACTCTATGGTGGGAATAGGGGTCTCTGAATAAATCCCAGTACCCTTAACAAACTATAGTCTCCACGGTTCTTTAGGAGAGGCCAAAACTGTTTAAAGTCATATGACAATGCTTTAAATGTATGGCATGGATGTGCTATATATCAAAACATATGAAGGCAGGAAGTAGGATTTTATAAATTCCCCACCTGTTTATGTTTTGGTTGCTTAGTTTGAATGCTTATAACTTGCTTTATAGCCCTGAGAAGCTTTCAAAGTGGCTTACAAAAGATTCACATAATAAAAATCAATAACAGAAATCATGGTGTTCCTCTGGTGCCAGGATAATTCAGGTGGCATTTCCTTTTTTCACCCTTGGTCTTCCCTGGTGTCACCCTTCAGCCTGTGCCTACAAGGCAGCAGAGTCTGCTGGATCACTTCTGAACAGGGCCAAGCAGCTTCAACTCACTCAGCTTGTGATGGAGGTAGACCTTCTCTGGTTGGCAGTCGGCAACAGCTCCCACGAAGAGCCTCAGAGGTACGTGTGTGGAGCAGAGCTGTGGAACTAACTTGGCCCATGTTGTATCTCTCTCAGGTTGTACCTTCCCATGATAGAAGCTACGATACCAAATATGTATGGCCTACATACACATGTAGGGTGAGTGACTGCCCTCCACTGGGCATCAACTCCATTTTGAGGTACATATTAATAGACACTCCCTTACTTGTGTTATGCATATACACATTTCCTTGCACCTCTACCGACTGCTCAATAGCAGCACTTCCTACTGGCTGTTCACATTCCTAGTTCACCTGCAGCTCAACTCTCTCCCTCTCTACCCACCCCCATCACAAAACAAAGCCTTCCAGATGCCAGCTCCACGAAGGACCTTTTAATGGTATCATCTGGGACTAATCCGTTTTAGAAGAAGACATGGAAAATCCCTTTCTTTGAGAGTAAATGAACTGAGCATGAACTAATTACAAAGATGTAAATCATGGTCTCCTCATGCCTGTCCCTCCTATGCCAAATTTGCACCTGGAGTTTTCTGTAGCTGCATTTTAAAGCTTCTGAACATAAGAATTAGCATACACATTGCTGATACAGCATCCCAAGCACAAACTCTAGAATTAAACAGCTTAAGAGTTTAATTTTCAAAGAATTAAACCGCCCAAGAGGTTTCCTGAGGGTGGACGGGGGGTGGGGCGGGGAGAGAAGAAAAACGCTGCAGCGTTGTAATAATTAATTTTAACACATCGACAACAACCATTCTAAGGTCATTAGAAAAGCAAAGATGAATGACTGCTATATGCCACAGCTGCCAATCAAGTATTGGCCCTTAAACGAGCACAGCTAGAGCAAGCAGTCGTGCTACCAAACCTATTACATTTCACCAGATCCTGTTTCAAGGTACTGCAGCTGCGAAGCTCTGCAGTTTATTTATTAATACCATATATATCACACACAGCTTGTGTTTCAGCTACAAGCTGACATTTTACCACCAGAACCCAAATTCACAATGTGCAACTGGCAGCTGTCCTTTGTAAACATCTATCTAGCTATTGTTTTAAGGTAGCTGTGCAACCTGCATAAGATGCTATGTTACCAGGGAGAACAAATGCTGAAAATTCACAAAGCACACAGAGGATTAATGGAAAGAGAGGCTTTGTAACTAGCATTTGGAATGATGAAAAGGAAGGGAAGGAAGAAATAGCAAGATGGTTGTGTAAGTTATTCTGAAAACTCTGTGTACTCCATAAAATACAACAGTAATATTACATGCTGAAGTCCCAACTTAAACTCAGGAATATGGCAAGTTTATTTGAAAACAAAACAAAACAAAACAAAATTTAAAGATGTGAATGGCTTCGTTTTTTGCATGTTTGTTGCAGATATTTTAGCACTTCGAATCTAACATTAAAACACTGCATAATATTAATGTGAGGGTTGTGTTACCTTCTCAGACAACCCAAAGAAGCCTAAGACCCCTGCATTACAAACATACAAAATAGTCATTAAATTTTGACGACACTAACGTAATCCATCTTTCGAGAATATAAATGGCATCCCTCAGTTTTTCCAGAAAACACACATTATTGTTTTCTTTTCCACAATGACACAACCTTTAAATTCACCACTGTGTGGTTGCTGTGTGTTTTCTAGGGCCACAAACACTACAACACAGTTTTGTTAGTTGCCAACAGGCCCCCAAAATTGACAGCTTGACAGTTAAAACAGGCACGTCCAGGAGTGTAAATCCGAGGAGGAAAAAAGGTTGTGTCAGTCCCATGGACTGCAAGAAGATCAAACCTATCCATTCTGAAGGAAATCAGCCCTGAGTGCTCACTGGAAGAACAGATCCTGAAGCTGAGGCTGCAATACTTTGGCCACCTCATGAGAAGAGAAGACTCCCTGGAAAAGACCCTGATGTTGGGGAAAGATGGAGGGCACAAGGAGAAGGGGACGACAGAGGACGAGATGGGCTGGACAGTGTCTTCGAAGCTACCAGCATGAGTTTGACCAAACTGCGGCAGGCAGTTGGAAACAGGAGTGCTTGGCGTGCTCTGGTCCATGGGGTCACGAAGAGTCGGACATGACTAAACGACAACAACAACAATTTAAAAATGAATTATTTCTTTTCTAATTGGCAAGTATTTTAGGGTGAAAAGATCCTCTCCTCGTGAAAAAAGCATTGTTTCTACTCTTTTCCTCCAACATCTTTTTAACTGCCTAGCAAAAGAAAGGAAACAGGCAGGCCACAAAAATGCTGAGCCCAGCTTATATGTGGCAATTATAGTTTGCATTGGCAAGGCAAGCATCTATTTGATAATCCTTTCTACTAACCACTGTGTCCTTGTGCATATATCCACAGAGAGCTATGGAAGGAATATGATCTAAGAAGAAAGAGGCCACCAGATGCTTATTCCATATTATATTTATTTGCACACTACCATTTCGTTAAAAATAAAACACAGAGGAAACTAGTGTGATGGTGGGCAACTGATTTTTAGAATTCTTTTTGCTCTCTTCCTCACCACGTACATTAATCTGTCACATCCCATAAGATATTCAATAAGCTTCTCTTTTGCCCCAAAGAAACTAATCACATCTCAAGTCATTCTTTCACCAGCACAAACAACATCTCAACAAGAGTATCGTGACATCTTTCAAAACTACCAAATTAAGTCAACGAAAGCTGAGTCCAGCTCAATAGCTGAATGAAATGCCATCCTTAGTTTACAAGTATATGTGCATGGTTTGTTGGAAGTGAATTATAAACTGTGATCAACACACACACACACGAAATAACAACATGCCTCTGATGAAGTGGACTCTAGGCCACAGAAGCAAATGCCATAATTAATTTACAAAAAGGGTGCCACAAGATTCTTCATTGTTGTTTTTCCTGCAACAAATTAACACTCTGGGAATGTCTATTTCATAGTGGGGCTGCCTTTGAAAAATTTCAGTTAGTCTAAATACAGCAAGGACCAGCCAAAGGGAATATATCTGCCATTTTCTGAAACAACTACATTGGCTGCTGGCCCATTTCCAAATTCAATCAAAGTACTTGTGCTTATCTTAGCTCTCAATGGCTTCATGTCAAAGGACCTAGAGGGGCACCTTCTCCTACATTAGAGGTGACAAATCTTCTTAAGCTTGAGGGCCATATTCCCTTCTGGGCCACCTTCTGAGGGCCGTGTGCCAGCAGTAGGCAGGGCTAGAGGCAAAGGCGGGCCAAGCAATAAATATAACTTTTATCATTGTACAGTAGGCTATTTTCTGCACACACTCACGCAGTCTGTCTTTCATCCAGGAAAGCAAGACGCCTAATGGGAGTTCAGTGGCACATTTCTGCCAGTCAAAAACACTCACGGTAATTGGTTCTCCAGTTCTGATGTAAAACCTTAGAGCACACTTGGCCAAACTGTGACTTGTCATATCCTACCACAGTGAAAGAGCAGGAAAAAGGAGTTGAAAGCAAATTCTTACAAAGTGTGCTTAGGAAGGGGCATACAGTACTAACAGTTCCACTGTTATTTGTACATGGGAATGGATGGCAGGCAAGTGCTATTTTTAGTAAAGACTGTAGTGTTTTATCTCCTTGCGTAAAAATCCATCACACCAAAAAAACATTCATTAACTGCTGTGGCATGGGAAACAAAATTATTAGTGGGTGAAGAAATGCATGTGCCTGATAAATTTATCCCTTTCAAACTGCAGGGAAACAGATGATAAACATTACTGTATACATAGTCAGTCACTTAGATACCACTATTTGTACCACTTAATCCTAACACACCCTCTGTACATTTTCAGGCATGCTAAAGAGAATTCTGATACATTGTCTAATGAAATAAACACTAGAGCCATGGATTGATCCAAGGCCCTCTGTCCCAATGTATACTTCCTGCCTCGAATTCCCAAACAAAGATGCACTTTGTGTTTCCCAGCCTGGCTCCCCTGATTGAAACAAACTCATTTATAAGTCTAAATATTCTGTCAAGTCAGTTTGTGCAAAGATTTATTGGGGTGTCGAGTTAAGCCACTCCAGGGCAAGCCTGGAAGGGGAAGGCAAAACATAAATCTTGAGTGCTGTCCCAGTTTCATAAGAGCCAGCAATGCAGAGAAGTTTTTCGCGTACATCTTGTCTGGGGCTTCTGCATGTATAGGGCAATTGATTTTATTTCACAAATTAAGATGATTATTTCTATTAATCACTACGTATCACCTAGCAGTCAGAGGATCGTGTTCCTGGGGCCTGAGAGTACTCCTTGTCAAAGGCGAAGAAAAAAACACACAGGATGAATGACAGACAAACTGGGCAGTCGGCCAAGAATTGCAAGAACAGCCCAGTAGTGTGGACAAGAAGTGGTTAGCTCTCCTCTTGACACAGAAATGCCTTCGAAAGCCCACTGAGTGTGTGGTGACATAATAAAGAGTCGTGCTTTGTGCGCTTGCCATGCTGCCTGAAAAGGGAACTGAATAAGTCATTCCCCCTTTCCGTCACCCAAATTCAAAGGAAATCATATTGCCCTGTTTAGCTTTCCTTGAAACTATTACAGCTTAAGTAATTGTTAAACTCATTTGCTGACTTTTTAAATAGGGATAGCAACTTTTTTGATGAAGGAGAACTGAGGGCTGCAGTGACAGGCACCCTTCCAAGAGCCAAATACAGTGGTACCTCGGGTTAAGAACTTAATTCATTCTGGAGGTCCGTTCTTAACCTGAAACTGTTCTTAACCTGAAGCACCACTTTAGCTAAAGGGGCCTCCTGCTGCCGCTGCACCGGCACTGCATGATTTCTGTTCTCATCCTGAAGCAAAGTTCTTAATCCGAGTACTATTTCTGGTTAGCGGAGTCTGTAACCTGAAGCGTACGTAATCTGAAGCGTACGTAACCCGAGGTACCACTGTATGACAACCACATTGGCCTGATGTGCCCTCGTGGGATGTTAGTTAGCCTGCAGAAAACCACAGCGTCTGATGTCAGAACAGATCCGAGCCAGGGATAGGCAATATCATCAGCGAAAGAATATTACGATGAATATTCACCGTTTTTGTCCTTTTAAATAATAAATGGCTGCGCAGGTATGTTTGATGGGGTGATGTGCTGCATTCAACAAGTTAAGAAGCCCAAGGGTAAATTAGGAGTTTTCTGCCACACGTTTCAAACATCATAATGGGATTTACTTCAGCCATTCCGACAAGGCTCTTAAGGTAATCTAGCTGGCAAATTAAGTCAATTATCATTAGTCTGTATAAAAGCCTGCAACCTGTAGTGCTTTGGGCAGTGAAAGAAGTCTGTGCAGAGTAAGAAAAGCCTTTGATGCATCACTATGGTATAAATGTATCTGAACAGAGCAGAAATATGCAGCCCTCAAGGTCTTTTTGGCAGCCCTCAGCAACATCTGACAACTCCCTGCCCCAGCCCTTGTGCTGCCTTCCTGTAACTGGGTAAGCGAGGCAGTGGGATCTAGGACCTTGCCAGAGCCTTCTGCTCCTTCTTAAAGCTCACTGCCTTGCTTATCAGGGTTTGGGAAGGCAGCACAAGAGCTGTGTGTTTGTGTGTGTCAAATTTTGGCCTCTGCGCGTGCCAAGGGAGTGTGAGGCTTGCAGGTTCCATGTTGAAGTACTCCCGTGGCCACCCTGATCTCAGAAATCCACACACTATGCTATGTAACATTACAATCACACTAAGAAGCAAACTGTAACGGAAGCAACACACAAAAAAGTTAGATCAGAGTTGCAGCAGGTACAGATCCCGCTGTAACCAGTTTAACCTGCAAATAATTGTTCCTGCAGGTAGTCCTCTGCACGCGAAGTGTTAATGTCAGATTACGAAGCTTGCCCCTTCCATTCCATGAACAGACGGGAAATTATGTTCCAATTAATGGAACAAGAGCTACACATCTTCCAACACGAGTACCTCTTAAGGTGTCCAGTTATCTGTGGGAGCCAAATGGCTGCACTAATGTCTGTGCCAGTTTATGTAACAAGCCACAGAACAGAGACCACAGAGCAGGTTGCGGGGGGAGGGGTGTCTTTTATTAGAAAGATCAAATGTTAAAAATTACGAAGTGATCTGAAACAAAGGAGGAGTTTTAAACAGGAACTAGAATTAGGATTACAAGCCATCTGACCTTGCTGGAGGGATCAGGTTGCACAGCCCCCTAGAATCAAGGTAGAAAAGAAATTTCAACAAGGCATGGGGGTGGCGGGGATAAAAACCAGCCATGAAATTATAAAGAACTTAAGAGTGAAAGGCCTCTTTCCATCTCCAGTATCATCAGACCCCATAGGTCCCTTCGAAGGCAGGAGACTGGCACACAGACCAAACTTGCCATTCAATAACTGGAGGTAAATTTGGGAAGGGTCAGTTCAGGCCAGACACTGCGGCACTGAACAGTATCCCAAGGCTTTGGTATCACGTTCCCTCAGAACCTCTTGCTTTCAAAAAGAATGCTCATACTTTACGGTTCACATCATTTTTTTTTTGCACTGAATCGGAAGGGACCCTCAAGAATCATTTAGTCCAATGCAGGAATCTCAACTAAAGCATCCATGACAGATGACCATCCAACCTTTGCTTAAAAATGCCTGGGCTTTGTGTAAGAGGACTGCATAACTGCTTTGAAATGTGAAAGCATAAATGAAATGCCTCTCCTTTACAAATGTGGATTGTTCATTCAGTTCTCCAAGATGTGTTGTTTTTCTTCTTCTCCTCCTGCTTGCCTTCTTACAGCCAGTCAATTGATAGGCTCTACTCGTCAATAGCTCTGGCTGTCATCATCTCTGGTTCCATCTACTATTGGTCTTCCTGCCTTCTGCCCTCACAGTGGGCACCAGAAACTACTGATTACTTCTGAAATGTTTGACATTTGAGATCACAAACCATCTCTCTTCCCGTCTACCCCACAGTGATTTTCAAAACTGAGGAACCCTGCAGGTCCTCAGAAGTTGACCGCAAGCTCCTCAAGGTGAAAGAAAGTGATGATGGGAAAACATCCCTGAAAGAAAGCGTGCCCATCACTACCCATCTGCCCCCGTAATGAAGCCACAGTATACTTTTAGATATATGAGAACTAACAGGACTGGGGCCAGCAGCCCAAGTAAACTGATTGTGATACTTGTCACCTCAGGAACTATCAGGGCTTCCTTAATGGAAAAGTCAGTGTGCAAAGGGATTCCCATAAGAAGCAAGTCTGAAACCACTCCTTGGGGCAACACACATTTATTTAGAATAAACTGTTTTCTACTCTTCTGTTTCCAGAGGCAGCTAGCCAGCCCTCAATCCTTCACACAAAAGCTCATTAGTTTTTTGCTCTGAGCACCAGATGAGGAATCAATTATTTGAAAAGGCATGGCGTGTTGACATTTCTTCGCTAGCTTGTGTCACATTCTGTGGGACCAACACAGCCATGGAGTATAATGTTTCTCCATTTCTTTCAGCTCAGAAACCACATGGTTAGCATCCCCTTTTTAAAAACCATTCTGAGCATGCACAGCACATACCTTGTATCTTTTCAATTTTTGGTTTTCTTCGTCAATTAACATCTGATATTTTGCAACTTCTGACTGAATAGAACTTAGTAATTACTGCTCTGGTCTGTATCCATGGGCTCTTCCTATTGAGAAAAACAATTTATTAACTTGCATGTTAGTGTTTCTAGCACAATGTCATCCAGTCAAGATTCATAGAGATATAATATCATACAGTGGACAAAGAACAAAAGCTTACCTCACTAGTCTCATTTGCATACATCTCCAGTGCAAATTATCAAGCAAGGTTCTAGTCTGTCCTGTAGTAATTAAAAGTGCTTGCTAAAGTACTTTTATTTGCTAGTACCATTTGCTTGCCTTTTGATAAAGGAGATGAGAAATAATAAAAAGCTGGAAGAAATGCGGAATAATTTAAGCTTGCTTTGTTTCTGTCACACCCACCTCCGTGTGTCTGCATTTCCTACAATTGCTTTTGTGCCTACCTCTACAACAACCATACTGGCTTTTAAAAAGTTAGAGAAGAGAGCTGGGGTTTTCAGGCTATGTACAGAAGTCTAGATGCTATACAGTTGTTCAGAAAGGAAAAGAAAGTGGTAGTGAAAGAGAACCAATTCATATTGCCCAACTTTTTCTTTTTGAAATAAAAAATTACACTTGTATCCCACTCTTACAGGATACTCTGAGTTGATTCCTGCTGTGGTTTATTAGCTGCTTAGCTTCAGGAATGCTGCAACACCAGGTGCTCCCAGGGCAATTTACTAACTAAGGCTTACGATGCAACCAAGTTATCGAAACAACCTATTCGATTAGCAGAATACCTCAGCAAGTTGTCTCTGCAACTCTGCAATTTTCTGTTCGTATATCATTTTTCTGTCAGATACAATTGCCATCAAGTTAAACCTTATTTCGCCTTCACTGTACCTACAAAATAAAAACAGAGTTGTCACATACTGCCATCACTGCCTCAGGAGTCTCATAGCTATTGATAAGCTTTGGACACTTCTGCATTAAGAACAAAGCCAACTAAACATTGC